GATGTCTGTGGAAGTTGTGCTTGGCAGAGGACACACCACATGATAGGTCGATCCCATGTCCACCATGCTCAGCGCCTTCACCTTGTTCCCGGTGGAGTCATCGAAGTGAATCACGTCCATGGCGAGCGCTTCTCCGAAGTCCATGAGCTGACCGTCGGGTTCCGGGCTTCGTGCATCTGCTGCATGTCTGGCACTTCAAGCACTTCGCAGCTCGGATGAGATGTTCATCCGCGTCCGAGAACTTCAGCTGGCGAGCCAACTCGTCGTTGGGTGGGTGCTTGCAGATCGCCGCCCACTTGGCCGGGATCTGTTCACTGAAGGTTATGCCACGCGAGCCCTGCCATTCTTCATCTGGAACCAGCTCGGTCTCATCGAGACCCGGTTCGTCCTTCTTGGACACCGCAAAGGCCGTGTGCTCTCCGGCGGTCGCCATCGCCTTCAGATAGGCCTTCAGGACGCCGCGGGCAAACCGCCCTGGATAGTGAGCTGTTGCCCCTGTCTCTGCACCTTGGATACGTCGGTGTTCGTGCCCACCGTCACACTGTCTCTCCAAGACCTTCTTGAAGACAGCCGAGGTGGTCGTCAGTCTGATGGTCTTCCTCAGTCGCTCCTTCCCATCCAGGCTCACCATGCCGAAGCAGCAGAGGTCCAGGTTGAATGAGTGGCTACCCGGGTCCTCCGTCCATTTCTTCACCAGCGGCTCCCGCCACAAGGCGCTACGGCTGGGATTCTCCATGATGGTATGGCCGCCGCTCATCTTCTGCAACAGCATGACCTCGTCGTAGAGCTCGAGGAACACCCGGTCTCGTTGTCGTAGCCGTCGTAGTTCCTGAGGCGAGTGGTTGAGGTGGCTGAACCCGCAGAAGTTCGTACAGGGAGGTGCCAGCCACACCAACCGTGGCCTCTTCTCCTCGATAATCCGCAGGACCTCCGCCCGCCGTGTCGCTCGCCTCAGATCCTGTCCATGGAGAAGATCCCAGGGGGGCAGCGCCGCTAAGCCAGCCGCCTCAAATGCTCGGGATATCCTTCCCTTTCCCGCAAAGATCTCCAGCAGGTCGGGACGCTCCTCGTCCGCCTCAGACCCCACCCGTGCACCAGAACAGCAAGTCCAGAGGTCGTTGACTGGCTCGCCGACCACCTCCTGGGTGAGGGCAACCGCCGTCATGAAGCACATTGAGACAACGTTCTTCGTGGCGCGGGCCATGTTCTGCAACTTCTTCCGGGTAGTCGCCTTCATCTTGCGTCTGCGGACACCAGCCACCGCTCTCTGGAACTTTTCCTCCGCCGATAGCTGTCCGCAGTCACTTGCCTCCTCCGCGTCATCTACCTCCTCCGGTACTCCAGCACCTTTAGCGTCTTGAGCAACTTTAATGCCTCCGGCATCTTCAGCGTCTCGAGCAGCTTTAGCGTCTCCGGCAACTCCATCTCCTACTCCTTCTTGGTCACCCGGTCCAGGTTGTTCTTGTCTCGCAGCGCCGCCAGCTCCGTCTCCAGGCGTGTGATCCGCTCCCGGTCGGCCTCCGAGACGGTGATCTCCATCCAATCCCTGTCTTCCCGACTCCTCCGGGCCCGGTTGGTCTTGGCGTAGCCCTTCCCGCCACCGCGGCTGTGCGTCGCTGCTGTAGGACTCCCGTTGCCAGGGGCGGCGGTACCACCGCCAGCGTCTCCGGGTCCTTGGCCATCTTGTCGATCCACTTGGAGGGCTTCCCTGCGTTCTTCTCCTGGTCGTCCTCCGGGCTCCGACTCTGCGCCCAGGCCGCCAGCAGCCTCAGGTCCTCGGACGCATTTCCGTTCTTCTCCGTCTCCGCCATGGCCCACACCAGGTACTCCACCGGGATCTCGCGGTACATCCAACCGCGGTAGCGTCTGAAGGGAACCACCGTTGAGGCGGGTCCCGCCATCTCTCGAAGTCGCAGCAGAAGCCAACCCCGGGTGGCCTTTTCCGGGACCTCGATGCCCACCTTCTCGGCTTCGGCCCTCAGCTCGGTCAGGTTCATCTTGGCCGTCTGCTTCAGAGAGCTCGCAGTCTCCTTGGCCGGCTTGTTCTCCACCACCAGCTGGCGTAGCTCCGGCACCGTCCAGGATTGGTGAAAAGGTATGCCCATGTCCTCCAGCGTCTTCATCAAGTCTTCCTTTCGCATCTTCCATGGCGAGGTCGGCATGGAGGACATTGGGCTCCGAATTGGTGAGCTCTGAGGGGCTGGGCATCCTCTGAGGTCGTGTAAATGAGCTGCGGCCGATCCATAAGTTCTGAGGTGATTCACGCGTCGGTGCTCCCGATTGCCAATCATACGTAACGTTCTGAGAGAGCCCAGCTTGGACACAGGGGATCAGGTCGACTTGGCAAAGGGGCCCCAAGGATTCTATCAACTTCTTCTTCAGGTCGGTCTTCCAATCACGGGGGTCGAACCAGGTCCTTCTGGGGGTCACGTGTACCCGAATCATCTTCTCTCTAGTCTCAACCCAGAAGTCCCTCCCGATCTTGTTGTGCCTCCACCATGACAAGAAGGTTTCCTTGGGCAAGGCGTCCAACCCACTCAAGAAATTCTGAACCACCAGGGGGACCTTCTTTGGGTAGAACAGCTTCGGGAAATCCTTCTCGCCCTCATCAACGGGGGTAGTGGGGCCTCCAGACGGGTGCGCCATGTACACTCGCGTGGTGCTCTGTAGCAGTGCCACCTCCTGATGGTCAGGAAGGCTATCAAAAAGCTCCTCGGTCGGAATGTAATCCCCGAGCTGGTCTACAGGGATTGTCGGGTGTCCCGTGGCTGTGAGGCCAAGCTCGATCCCGGCAATATCAAGCGACAAGAAATCGGCTCGGGTCCAAAACGGTTCCTAGTCGGGCTAAGGCGGTCCTGCTCAAAGAAGGGGAACCCGGCCACCAGTGCAGTTCACGATGGAGACTTTCACCAAAAAGTTCTTGCTTTCCAGGCCCAAGACCGCCCGCACGGCGAAGCTCGACTGATGGGGCCGGGATGCTCCAAACCGGAACGTCTGCGACTGATCCACCGTGTAGATCGGCAGCCTATTGGCCTCCGCGAACTGGGTGTACGCCTGGAACCAGTCGTAGCCCGCCACACGCCGGCTGCATGCCGTGTCCATGATGGCCACCAACTTCTGATGTGGCCTTCCCGTGGGGCCCGAACCCCCCGTTTCCCCGGGTGTCGTTGTCCTCGCCCGCCTCGAACACCAGCGCCTGTATCATGTCCTCATCTTCGACGCCGATGTGGTCGTTGTCAGCCGCAGTGGCGAAGACGACATGGCATTCATGACCCGGGCGGCCACCCTCCTTGCTCACACCCTTGTTCAGCGGGCAGGCGGCGTCCTTGTGCCAGTGGCCTTCACGCTTGCACGCTTGCATGCCGAGCAGTAGCTCCGGTTCTTGGCTTCCTGTAGTCGCTGCTTCGCTCGAGCCTTGGCCTCATCCTGGTCCACTCCACGACCCGAGACCGTTGCCTTGAACCGTGCCTTTGCCGCCAGGTGAGCTTCGAAGGTGGTGTGAAGTTCACTTGCCACCTCCTCGGGCATGATGTCCTCCCCGGACTCCGCCCCGTCTTCTCTTTCGGCTCCATCCTGATGCGTGTCCTCCTCATCGATGTCCTCGGCCATCCATGCGGTCTGAGCCCGTTCACGCCTCTTCCCGAACCATCCGTTGTTCGTCCGTGGCTTACCTCCGAAGGACTCCTGAGGTCGCCGAAGAGTTCGATCTTGTAGTAGTGCGGCTCGCTGGAGTAGTCCGTAGTCGAACTGGTTACCCACCGAGGAAAGCAACGCCGTCTCGTCGCTCTCCGAGATCCCCATCTTGTCCAAATAGGCCCAGGCCTTCACCAGTGGGGGCAGCTCACAACAAACTTCCTGGAGCCGCAGGATCATCCTCTCGCATTCCATGTTATAGTCCCGCATGGTGTGCTCCGGTCGCCGCTTGAACTTCCTGAAGAACTCCGTCATCACCCTGCCGACCTTGGTGAGCTCCAGGTCCAAGAACCGAGTTCGAATCCATTCCTGGAAATACTCCACGCCCTCTGCCGTCGCCAGTCGGTCCAGGTTCAGCTCCTCCGAGAAGCTCCATGCTCGTCCACTGAGTGCTGAATAAAGGGCCAGTGCTCGTTGTTCCGGCGGCAGTCGCGTGCAGCGTAGCCAGACCTGCATCTTCCTCAAGTAGGACCTGGCGCCCAACCCAAGTTTCTCATCCTCAGCTTCTCCATCAAAGGTGGGCACATTCAGGCGCTCGCTCGGCTTGTCCTTCCGGTTGCCGAAGTCCCAGGGCATCTCTTCGGCTGCGTGATGCCCCCCAGGTGGCGTAGCCGCGCCGTGCCACACTCCAGACTGCGAAGCCACTAGCGAGTTCAGCTCGCAGTGGGAGAACCGTCGCGTCTGAGCGTCTGTCCACCATCCAGTCTTCCAGGCCTGGTCATCCAAGTAGCGCTTCCCCTGGTACTCCACCTCATAGCCACGCGCCCCATCGCGTGATGAGTACCATCCCCAGTTGTCCCACCACTCATCTGACCAGCTCGTCAAATTGCTGCCGCCCCTGGCCTGTCCATATCCAGCCCAAGGATCAGCTCCGTTGCCATCTCCAGCCTGCCAGGGGTCCTCCTCTCCAGGAACCGCCATGTCCGCCGGCGCCTCCGTGTTGTGGTCCAAGGCTGCCGCCTCTCCACCGGTGTCCGCCTGGCTTTCTGGATCTTCTTCTCCACCACCGGGGCGAGGTGCCCACATGCGCCCCCCCCCTTTCACCATCTCCGTCAGCCCACCACCGGTAGTAGACGGTGCACTGGTCCGTGGCTGTGAACTTCGGCTCCGCCACCAATGTTGATGCCGTAGAGCAGGCAAGATCATGCGAGGCTGCGCATGAGCACCTTTTCCTACCTGTTCGATTGACTCTTGGGCCTAACGGCCGGTCGGGGAAGGTTTCCCACGTGCAAACGCTAACATATTCACAGCAGGCAACAACTGCCGACCGATGACGAGAACTACAAATGGGCTCATGCCAGGCCAGCCTTCATCTGTAGCTGCCGAGCCTGCCCGCAGTTCGCTTGACTTCGCTCATATTTCAAACAGGCATCGTTCCAGCCACGGTCAATATGTGAATTCAAGACCGTCCCTAACCACATTGGAGCACAATTGGCTTTGCTTCTGACGACTGAGCTCCCAAAGAACCTGCAGACCTAGGGCTACCAACTGCACAACTGAATCCCAAACTGGGAGTTGCTCGTCGCCTTGAGCGTCTGCCGCAGGAGCTCCAGCAGCTGCTCCGGCGTGGCCCCTCGCGGAAAACCCGCGGAGGCGGCTTTGGGCCGCGTGGGGAAGGGCGAGGCGTCGACCTCGACGTACTCGGCGAAGGACAGGGGCTTCTCGAGCTTGTCCTTGACGCAAACTCTACCAGCAGAACTTGCTCAAAGCCAAGCAATCCAAACCCGCCCCAGACAAGGGAAAGTGGGTGCCGCTGAACACCTGGTGCGGCATAATTAACTAAAGCCAAGCCTGTTAAAAAGGGAAGATTGGATTCATCAGCTTGGTTCAGAAACTGGTTTTTGGCCCTTCAGCCAAGCAATTCTCTGCCCACAGACTCTTGCCTTGGGCGGCCTATGAGAAGGGACTCCAAGTAAGGTGGCAGAACAAGAAGTCCGCACGCGCTCCAAAGCTGCATCACATTATGTCACGTCCATGGATGACGTCCAACGCGTCTGGGCCATCCCCGCAATTCGCTGGGGCATCCCTTTCGGAGGTGCCGTACGCCGTAAGTTCTTACAATGATCCACCACAAGCCACAATCAACCCCCGCATCGCCGGCCGAAGGCCACAAGAGCCGAGCGTCCGCTTCGCAAAGTGCCAGGCTGCTGCAACAGTCGCCCATTGCAAAAACCTTCCGGAACTTACTTGCTGAGTGGATGGC